AAAATAGATTTGTTTATCCATGAATTGAGCAGGAAGCAAGTCAACATTCCAAAGATGTTAAAGTTTTCCTGGTTTGATGCTTGAAGGATTCGAGAGGCATTCGGAAGTTACTTGCAACATCAAAAACTTCGAAGTTTCTAGAGTTGAATGGTAAAATTTACCCCGACTTAATTAAAGTATTTTTCACTAACTTGTCCTTTGAAGGTTCCACTCTAATAACTCAAGTCAAAGGAGTAGACATTGAGATAACACCTAATGTCCGGAAGGAGGTTGCTTGGAATAAAGGATGTAGGTGTGAAAGTCACCAAAGGGTGTACTTCGGATGTTGAAGAATTTAATAAAGTTTAGTATTTCCGCTCTTGCCTGAAGAATAGGCATGATTCTGTAAGTTCATTCAACACTGGGAAGTTGAAACTAGAAGAAAGGATTCTCGCTTTCATCGTTTCCTGGCAGCTCACACCCAGGGGAAGCAATCATGCGGTGCTAAACGAAGGAGATTTAGTACTGATGTACTGCATTCATCACAGGATACGGGTGAACTGGGTCTTTGTCATCAAGGACCACATGGTCAAAGCCAAGAGGCTAAGTGATTTCAGGTATCCTTATGCTATTCTATTTTCTTTTCCTTAGTTTTTAATGTTCTATTTTTTATTCGGGGTACCCACGTGGCCCCATTGGACTGTAACTAAAACAATCTATTTGATGCAGTCAAATAGGGGGAGAAGTATTTTGCTTAAAACTGTCACTACACACACACCACAAAATATATGTCTCTGGTCTGTTATTTTTGTTTTGCAGGTGCAGTGGTTATTTGTCTCCATCAAATAGGGGGAGATTGAAGCACTTGGTGGATTTGATGAAGACATAGATATAACTTAGGTTGTGGGTGTGTAAATGATTAGGTTTTTAAGTTTAAGCACTTAATCTCTTGATAGGCCATTATATTTTGTGATAAGCACCTTAAAATATTGCATATCATTGAAAATCATTTTTCTGCATGAAAAACTTACGTTTAAGTATTAAAAGAATAAACTAAGTTTTTTCAATCTGTTGAAAAGGATTTTCAATCTGTTAAAATCACTTAACATAATAAATGGTCATACATATTCGAAAATTCAATTTATTGATTCGCGGAATCAACAAGTTAAAATAACTCAATGAATTTTTCAATATCAAAGTTTCGCATTTTCAATCTGTTGAAATAAATTTTAAATCTATTAAAACGAAAGTTTTTTTTCAGATCTAAGAGTTTTTTAGAAAATCAATCTGTTGAAAATATTTTTCAATCTGTTGAAACAGAGAGACTATTTTTTAACTAAGTGTTTGCAGGAATTTAATCTGTTGAAATGATTTTCAATCGATTGAAACAGAGTCGTCATTTTTCATAAAGTTGTTTCAATCCATTAAAAACTCGAATCAATCGATTGAATGGAGCTTTAAATGAAATCAATCGATTGAATTGATATTTTAATCGATTGAAATATATTCTGATCGATCATAGTTTTATTCTGATCGATCATAACTCGGTCTGATCGATCATAGTTTCATTCTGATCGATCATAACTCGGTCAGATCGATCATAGTTTCATTCTGATCGATCATAACTCGGTCTGATCGATCATACTTCAGTTCTAATCGATTAGAGTCTCTTCTAAACTGTTTTACTTCAATCTAATCGATCTTTTGACTCTCTAAAACAGTTTTTGACAGTTGGAACATTCTGATTCTATGCTTTACTCTATATATACAGAATTGATCTATCTTTTGAATGACACACAAACAATACACTACTTGAGAAAACTTGTGAAATCAATCTGTGAAACTTTCATACGTGACTTTCTCTGCATTCAAGAATCTTTTTCATATCATAAGGTGCTGTGATCAGAATTGTGGTCAATCAAAGAGAGAAAGTGCTGTTAGAATTTGTTCTGGACAATTAGAACTTCAAGTCCAGGTTTTTTCTTTTCATACTCTTTTGTAAAAGTGTGATTGTGCAGGTTGGATTGTGATCTGCACTTGGTACGATGAATCGGGTTTGGTTACTCGGGTGGTTTTCAAGATTTTGTCTTGTGGGTTTGCAAGATAGTTCTTGGGGTAGATTGGTGAGTATCTACTGGTTGTAAATTTTCACTTGGTATTAGTGAAACTTGATCGGTTTGTCAAGAACTGGATGTAGCTCCGAATTAGAGTGAACCAAGTATAAATTTGTGTGTTAATATTCTTCTTTCATCTCTTTTATTTTCTGTCAATTAACTTGCTGTGTTTAAACCAAACTACCTTCGCAAAGATTAAATAAAGATAACTCATTCTTCCAAAAGAAAGTAAGTTTTGTTAAAAAGTTTTAAAGTTCAATTCACCCCCCCTCTTGAACTCAACCATTAATTCTTTCATGATTGATTGCCAAAAGATGTCTTTCAAAAGGTTCAAGCAATTCTATTTATATAAAAGATTTTCCACACTCGTTGGTTTATTTTATCTCGTTAAAATAATCTTTTAATCTGTTAAAAGTCTTGTTTTAATCTGTTAAAACTTCTTTTAATCTGTTAAAAAGTTCTTGATTATTTTCCAGATTTGTTTTAACTGATACGACAACGTTTATATCAATTAAAACTCTTTGTAAAAAATCTTCCAAATTGTTTTAATTGATTGTTTCGTCTTTCAATCGATTAAAATACTGCAAAACATTCTTATAAACTTTTCTAAGTGATTTTAATCGATAACAATCTGTTTTAATCGATTAAAACACTTTGAAAAAAGTTCACTTAGTTATTTTAATCGATTGAAACGCATTGTAATCGATTTTAATTCTGCCAAAAGATTTCATAAAACTTTCTAAGTTATTTTATCTCGATAGCAAGCTTGTTTTAATTGATTAAAACATTTTGGAAAAACCTCTTAGTTGTTTTAATCGATTATTTCGCATTTGTATCGATTAAAATACTGACGTAACAACTTTCAAAACACTTCAAGTTATTTTAATCGATTATTTCGAATTTGTATCGATTAAAATTCTGCCATAACACTTTTCAAAATATTGTAAGTCATTTTAATCAATTATATCAATTCTATATCGGTTAAAATATCGGCAAAAGGTTTTCAAAAATCCTTCTAATGAAAACAATCGATTATTTCGAAAACATATCAGTTAAAAACCTGTTACAAAAGTGTTAAGAACATTTTAGTTGATAACGCTTATATACTATTAGTTAAAATAGTTAATTAAAAACTTTTTAACAAAATACTTTGTTTTTAACCGTTTAAACCCATTTTAGAGGCATTTGCAAAATCTTTTAAATGAAGAAAACCTCATGCAGCAGAGAGATAAAATTGATTATACCTAAGTAAAGATGCAGACTCACTAATCACACTACCCTTTTTTCTAAGTGACCTTTGACTGCCACAAAGTAGCCTTTGACTTTATTTTTGACTTCATCAAATCAACAAGATTTTTGCCAAAGTAATTCAATAAGATTTTCATCACTTTCAACAAGGTCAGTATAATCTCATTGTCTCCTTATAAGTTGATGATCTCATCTATACAGGGAACAATAAGGAAATGATGAAAGAATTCAAAGAAGATATGATGAAAATATTCAAAATGACTAATCTTGGCTTGATGAACTACTTCCTCGGGATAGAGGTGATACAACAAAAAGAAGGAATATTTATCTCTCAGAAGAAATATACTGAAGCTCTACTGAAGAGATTCAAGATGTACGGATGTAAACCTATCACTACTCCTTTAGTGGTAAACGAAAAGCTAAAAAAAGATGATGGAGCACCAGAAGTAGATGTATCACGATACAAGAGTTTGATCGGAAGCCTTCTATATCTCATAGCTACATGGCCAGACATTATGTATGCTACAAGTCTTCTGTCAAGATTCATGTAAAAGCCAAGCCAGATTCACTATGGAGCAGGAAAAAGGATTTTAAGGTATCTGCAAAGTACAAGAGAGTTTGGTATATGGTACAAGACCATGACCAACTCAAGGATGATTTGCTACACCAACAGTGATTGGGCAGGATCAATAGACGACATGAAGAGTACGTCACGATACGGCTTCTCACTTGGATCGGGTTTTTGCTCATGGGCATCAAAGAAGCAAACAACTGTGGCACAATCAACAGTAGAAGCAGAATATGTAGCTGCTGCTGAAACTACAAGTCAAGCAATATGGCTACGAAGAATACTTGACGAAATGGGCGAACCACAAGATGGACCAACTACTATCTACTGCGACAAAAAATCAGCAATAGCAATGACGATGAACCCGGTTCATCATCAAAGAACAAAACATATAACTATCAAATATCACTTCATTCATGAAATTGAAACATCAAAACAAATTCAATTTCAGTACTGCTTAACAGAAGAACATGTAGCAGACATATTTACAAAGGCACTACCGAAAGCAAAGTTCGAACAGTTGCGCAATATGCTAGGAATTAAAGAAGTTTGTATCAAGGAGGAGTGTTAAAAATTGACACAAACTTCTAGAATTATGTAAAAAACATATATGTATGTTAGTTACTAGTAGAAGCTACAACATGATTCTAAAAAAAGAAAAGAAGAAGAAGAAGAAGAAATGTGTAGAAATAGAATAATGTAGAAACAATGAAGTTAATAGAAAATTCTAGAATCTTGTAAGTAAAGCCTATAAATAGGCATGAAGGGAGTCTTTGTAGGTGTGGTGAAAAACACTATTAATCCAAAAGCCTCTTTTCTATTAGCCCTTACTCCTTCTCTTACCAAAATCCTTAACTATCTTTCATCCTTAAACATTTCAATATAAGCCTTTTTCATTTCAAATAAAACATTTGCTTTCCTTCTATTACTCTAACCCACTTCCAAAATACTAACACAAGCACTTGTTTCAATCACTTATATTAAGGACTGTGATATTTGAAAATGAAGAATGTCCTATCCAATCTGGAAAGTTAGTGCCACCATAATATTTGATATTGAGTATCTTCAAATTTGTTGATGGTTGCAAGTTGTCAAGTACATCTTTTTTCAATCTGCTGTTCTTGTGGATCAATGGCCCATTCTAGGATAAGTTCCTCGATTTGTTCTTTGTTCTTTAAATTGGCTTGAAAAGCGTCCACAGGATTGACAACATTTTGCAGGTTCATAATGGAAAGCTTGCCCTGCAAATAAGGAAATTTTGATAAATCTCTGATACTTAGTCCATCTTGTCTTCCAACAATAAAAATTGTCAAGGTACGGAGTTCTTGTAATCTGCAGATTTGTGTTGGCTTCTCTGGAAAATTAGTGTCTGTGGGAAATCAAATAGTATTTTAGGAAAGAATAAATCAGGAAATTTGTATATTTCCTTGTAATCCGTACAGATTTGAATAATTAGAAACAATCTCATAAATCAAGGGATCCTAGCATAAAATAGAGTTATTATATTTCCTAAAATAACCGGAAACATGTTAGGCTTTGGCTCTGATACCATGTTAAGATTCCAACATAAAACCAATTGGCTATATGTGGATTAGTCTAACATGTATTTAAACCATACCAAATGACATGAGGTAGGCGATGTGGGACTTTCAACAGTGCCACTGATGTCAAGGTGGCGCAAGTTAATCAGATTTCCTATCTGCTGTGGCAATTGAATAAGTGATTCACAATTTGATAATATCAAAGTTTGCAAATTGTAAAGCATAAATGTTCCGTTGGGCAAGCTTTCAATGGAAGTGTAGGAAAGATCCAGATACCTCAAGTGCAACAAATTTCCAATCGAATCAGGCAACTCAGTGATATTTATGTATCTAGACAATGAAAGTATTCGCAAACATCTTAGTTTTGGTAACCAACCATGTGATACCATTTTGGTTAAGTAACATGGTTCAGAAGGATATGCCAATCGTGGTAGAAAGGTCCGCAAACACTTCAACTCATACAAGCCCTTGAACTTCTCAGAGACATCAAACATCTCTCTGAGAAATGATATGTGGCGAACAGTTCTTGGGATTTCTCTAGCATCAAAGTAGTAAGAACTTCTTCCAGCCACAAGTCTACCTAAATCATAGATGAGGTCATGCATTCGAAAATTTTCCTCTGCAATGGCATTGTCTTTTTGAATTAAGGATCTAGATAATAACTCATTAAAGCAGTCATCACCTACTGATTCCATTGCTTTCTCTTCCTGGATGTGTTGAAAGCCTTCAGCCATCCATAGCAAAATCAATTCCTTCCTATCCAACAAATTTTGTTTTGGGAATATAGAGCAATAAGCAAAACATCTTTTCAAATGTGCTGGAAGATGAAAATAACTTATGCGCAAAGCTGGTAAGACATCATGATGTGCCCACAAGTTGCTGTTCAGAATTCTATTCCATTCCCCAACATCAACATTTGACCGCAAAAGGCCTACCAATGTTTTAGCTGCCAATGGTAGACCATTACATTTTCATGCAATTTTTCTTCCAGTTTCTCTTAGGATTGAAAATTTTGGTAACCTTCACTTCCAAATGCATGTCTGGCTAGTATGCGCCAACAATTTTCATCACTTAGGGATTTAAACTCATAAGTGGGAAATGTATGTGTGACCTGTGCAACTCTTTGTTGTCTGGTTGTCACAATGATCTTACTTCCCTTTCTCCCGCTGCTTAGAGGTGCTACTAGGTGATGCCAATCATTATACTTTTCATTCCAAAAGTCATCAAGCACCAGCAAAAATTTCTTATCCCTTTGGCTATTCTTCAATTCAACACGAAGAACATCAAGATTAGTTATATGACAATCTTTGGATGTGAGAGATTCAACAATTTTCTTTGTTACCTTGAGAATATCGAAATCATCTGACACCCATGCCCAAGCTGTCAAATCAAAATGTTTCTGCACTTTGCTATGATTATAAAGGCATTGAACAAGGGTCGTTTTTCCCAGACCCCCCATGCCTAATACTGTAATCACTTCTATATCATTAGACATGCCGTTATCATCACATAGTAGCATGCTCAGTCGCTTCTCCTTGTCATCCTCTCTAGCAACCACAGCAGATTCAACCAATGAATCTGTTACTGTTCTATAAGAGACTCTTCTAGTAACACTTTGCAAGCCAAGAATATCTTTTTGTCTAACAAAATGTTCTAGCCTTCTAGATATTGCTTCAAACTTGGAATTGATACTCCTATATGAGTTTTTAAATCTAGAAGAAAGCAAAGATCTGACCTTGGTGGTAAAGGTTCTAGATTTTTCCTCCCCCTTTGCATCTCAAAGCAAGTGTGTTGACTTCATCCAACAAATCCTCTGCATCTAAAACACCATCTTTCAACTCATCCAGCCATTCCTTCACTGCAGAATCCGTCATCTGCTTCTCCTCGGCATCATTGAGCACAGCATTAAGTCCCAAAAGCATTATCTTCAACTCATCCAACAAAGAAATATCCAGCTTTCTGCTAGAGAAGAAATCTTCAAACTCTGGAGAAGCTATCTGTTTTATCAATATCTCGATACAAGCAGAGATCAGTGCCTCTCCCACCATAGCTAAGGCCATTTCTTCCCTCGTTTTGCAAATTGAATTTAGAACACTGAAACTCCTGCTAAATGAGATGCAAATAGAGAAATCTAAGAAACTGAGGTATCATAAGGCTTAAGTCAATGCTTTGATTGACTTCACTTATGGTAAACGCGTGAACCTCTCTCTATTATTTCTTGTCATTAAGTATCTACAGTAGAAAAGTTTCACGGTTGAATTTGTTGAAGGTATCAAAAGATTAGTTGAATTTTACGTGCTTCAGGCATATTTTTTCTGCTGGTGCACCACAACTTAAAACCTCATGTGAAACAACGGCTCAGATTGCGTCATTATAATGTTCCATACACTTTTTAATTAAATGGATTTAGATGTGCACTGATGATGATCAAGATGATTTTGTCTTTAGTTCAACTTCAATTGTGTGTTTGTTATTTAATTTTTGTGTATGAAACCATGATACTTTTTAAGAAGATGGGAAGGTAGTGATTTGATTAATCATATGGTTATATGTTATATGACTAAGCAACTTTAACCTAAAACTGATAGATAAATAAGTATTAGATATATTTAGTAAAAGTTGGATGACTAAAAATGGCTTGTAAATAAGTTAGGTTGTGGGTTAATTATTCGAGTTTCACTAGTTAATTATTTGGTTAAAATTGTTTATTTAGTTCAAATAATCAATTTACGTTTGGTATTAGGTTAAATTATGTAAATAAATCGAATCTGAGTTTTAAAAGCTGAATGTTAAAAACTTGTTAATAGGTTGTTCATAATGGGAGCAATTTTATATAAAACAATAACTGAATTATAATTGAGTTAATAAAATTTAAGAGCACTTTTATTTTTATTAAAATAAACTAAGATTTGAGATTTTAATTAACTCGTTGAAATTAAGTCAAATTTTATAACATCCAATATTTTAATTTCAAATCCAGTCATGTAAGTATTATTACATGAAGTCTCATTCTAATAATAAAATAAAATCTCAATAAAATGAACTCTCATTCTAATTATTATTCAATCTAATAAATTATATTGCATTCTTAATTGATTTTAACGTCCTAAAACTTTCATTTGAAGCTCAACCATACCTCATAAAAAGAGTGATTTACTCAAGTTATAAATCTTAAAGACTTCATCTTATTCGTTTTATTCGGTTTAAGAAGTTCATTTTCTAGTATGAATATCCTGTGTCTAGCATAGGATCTTTGTCAAAAAAAAAAAAAAAATTATCACGCAAATTAAAAAACTTTCACTCTGATCCAAATCAAGGTTTTGTCTTTTCTTCTTATTTTATTTATTTTGAGTTATGAAGACACCATTTTTCACTAGTGTAAAAAAGATTTTTTACGCCAGGTATTTTGCATTTTTTACGTCGCATTTAAGACTGACGTTAAACAGGAGACGTAAATTTACGTCGGACCCTTAGCCTAACGTAAATTCACCTCAGTTATTGAGACCCGACATTAATTTACGTTGCATTTACACTAAACAGATGTAAAAAGTATCAAAAATTAAAAAATTTGGAGCAAATTTACGTCACGTATTGTTATACGCGATGTAAATTTACATCGCATATTGATATATGCGACGTAAATTTACATCATGTATACCAATATGCGACGTAAATTTGCTCCTTTTTAAAAAATTGGGTTTATTTTGTCTTACAACCAAAACCTGCAAATATATATTATAACCAAACAATCCAGAGGTTCAGGTTTCTTTATCTATGTAATTAAAAAATATAATATTATATATAATTCAAACTACATAATAAAACAATATAATACAAATAATAACCTACAAACTAAAATCTATTACAAACTAAAAGTTAATACAAACTAAAAGTTAGTACAAACTAAAAGTTAGTACAAACTAAGCTACCTAAACTACATAGTACACACAATATAATATAAACAATAACCTAAAAAATTAAGTACTAGAATTGTTGAACGAAAAACCTTGCCCATTATTCTCTAATTTGTGTGATATCATATTCTGGTAATGGAGATGGATTTTGAAATACCTGAAGCATTAATTTGACTCTTGTAAACATGCAACACACATAAAGTTAAATAAACTTAACTAATGTTGAAAGCAATTACCTCCGTCCAAGAATCAATTATACCCACACAAACTATGACTCTCATCCAATACATAACATAGTAACCACATTCAAATGAGTCTCGTTTGCTTATTACACTCGAAATGATGAATAAAATATAATGTTATTTTCAAAATTTAAATAAAAACAATAATTATGGTATTCACTTATTATAATAAGTTTCTAACCTTAGGATAAATGAACTGCAAAGTCTTTGTTCTGGGTTTTTCACTTAGAACATTAGTTATAGACACGATTCTAAATGAAAAAAATCCATATATTATTCAATACATTTTCCATTTTCACTAGAAAATTTCAAAAATTCATCAACTCCCTTTTCGTACTCTTCACTAATACGACGTGCATTCATCCAACTTCGATTCATATTATGTTATAAAGTTTTGTCACTTCTAGAGATTCAAAATTTATATTTAAAAATAAATTAATATACAAACAACAAAGCACGTAAATGGAGTGTGTAAACCGAAAATGCACTCAAACAAAATAATGACATTCCAATAACAATCCAGTGGAGACATTCATACAATGACGTGATTGAGATCCCCAAAAACAATCACGGATTCAATTTGAACATATATCAGGAGACATAGAACACTAACCTCGAGTAAACACGAAAATGATTTCAAACTCGAATCCAATCGGGGAGAAATGTCAAATTCGTAAAATGAGACACAATGTTGATGTTCTTCACTGCCAAAATGATCGAAAATGGTGTGGAAAGGTAGTTGTCGTCGTCGTTCTAAAAAACCTTGCAGCGCGAGATGCGGGAGTGGGTCTAGAAGAGAATAAAAAGAACTTTTTACGTCGCACACCCTAGCACGTGACGTAAAAAGCCTCTTTTTATGTCGCGTGGGGGGTGCACGATGTAAAAAGTGATATTTTTTACGTCACATGGGGGTGCGCGACGTAAAAAGTATACTTTTTACGTCGCGTACCCCCCATGTGACGTAAAAAGTATCACTTTTTACGTCGCGCACCCCCCACGTGACGTAAAAAGTATCACTTTTTATGTTGCGCACATCCCACGCAACTTAAAAAGCTCTCTTTTACGTCGCGATGTACCAGGTGTGATGTAAAAGAGGTTTTTAACGTCACCTCCTACAATATGCAACGTAAAAGTTTCACCTCTTATTTACAAAATTGTCACCACATTTTATTTATGTCAAATATTTTGACATGCGACGACAATTGGGTGACGTAAAATGTCATTTTTGCACTAGTGTTTATATACTAAAAAATGGTAAAAGATTACCATTCTTTATTCATTAAATCTATTTTGGATTCAAATACAATTGTATCACGAAAACATAGTATCATATTATCTCATCTATATTATTATATATCACAAATTTTACATCAAGTATATTATATTATACTCAATGTAGTATTACTCGATTATTTCAGTTGTTATATATCCTAAATACTACCAATTTTGTTTATTATTCTCAACCAAGTGTTATCATGCTAGTTATTAGTTATTTTTTGGATCTTTTATGTTTCATCACCATGTAGATATAATTACATCTCCTATGGATTTGATAAAACTTTTTTGGTCGAAGTAGATAAATAATTTTTTCAAAGGTAGCCAAATGCACAAAAATTACAATATTAAAAAATCATTCATTCATATCACATACAACAAGTTATTTAGCTAGACCGCAAAATCTCAATGGTGTCAATAATATACAATTAACACAAGTATATAGAAAAATTCCCAAATTGTTGGATGTGTGCAATTGTCATCTTATTATTAATACTTTATATCATTTTTAATGGTTGTTTGCTTTACACTAGTTGCAGACATGGAGGAAAGGATAACTTGTCCATGTTTAATTATTCAAAATTAAACATTTTCCTGAATTCATGAAACAATATATGATATATCACTAGTGCTAAATATGATATTTTACGTCACCCAATTGTCGTCTGCATCTAAATGTCAAAATATGTCAATCTTGTAATTAATACGCGTGCATAGGATCGTCATAATATCCGTAAAATAGTGACTACTTTACGTCACGTGGGTGTGTGCGTGACATAAAAAGTCATCTTTTACGTCACATGGTGCAGCGACGTAAAAGTATGACTTTTTACGTCGCATGGGGTGTGCGACGTAAAAGTGATACTTTTACGTCGCGCGGGGTACGCGACGTAAGAGGCCACTTTACGTCACGTGCGGGTGTGCGACGTAAAAAGTTCTTTTATTCTCTTCTAGACCCACTTCCGCATCTCGCGCCGCAAGGGTTTTTTAGAACGACAATGAGAACGACGACGACAACTACCTTTCCACACCATTTTCGATCATTTTGGCAAAGTGAAGAACATCAACATTGTGTCTCATTTTACGAATTTGACATTTCTCCCGACTGGATTCGAGTTTGAAATCGTTTTCGTGTTTACTCGAGGTTGAGTGTTCTATGTCTCCTGATATATGTTCAAATTGAATCCGTGATTGTTTTTGGGGATCTCAATCACGTCATCTGGTATGAATGTCTCCACTCGGATTGTTATTGGAATGTCATTATTTTGTTTGAGTGCATTTTCGGTTTACACACTCCATTTACGTGCTTCATTGTTTGTATATTAATTTATTTTTAAATATAAATTTTGAATCTCTGTGAGCTGACGAAACTTTATAACATAATATGAATCGAAGTTGGATGAATGCACGTCGTATTAGTGAAGAGTACGAAAATGGAGTCGATGAATTTTTGAAATTTGCTAGTGAAAATGGAAAAGGTATTGAATAATATATGACTTTTTTTCATTTAGAATCGTGTCTATAACTAATGTTCTAAGTGGAAAACCCAAAACAAAGACTTTGCAAGCTCATTTATCCTAAGGTTAGAAACTTATTATAATAAAAGTGAATACCATAATTATTGTTTGT